TGATAGTGCTTACTTGTTGATAAATATCAACAGGAGAACTGCACTTCGATCTACAACTTGTTTGATTGATACTTCAAAAAACTCTATACTGGATAACTAGTGAGCTTTATCGTTCCTGTTCGGTACTAGTGAATGAATTTAATGATGGTATGAATGTGTATAATCAGTTTACTGTACTTTGTTCATCTTCTTCAATTTGCATTTTTTGGTTTATTTGATTTCCAACTGTATGTTGTTTAAATAAAATTTTCAATAATGAATTTTATGTGGTGATTGACCCGAACATAAAAAAAACAATTCATACCATCACCACAGATTTATAATTTGAGGGAATGTTGGAATTAACACTACTAATTATAATTTAGATGAGTTCCTCATTAATAATATGTAGCTGTCATTGAGTTGCCATCAATCAACACGCCCACACGAATAAAACACATTCGTCTAACACAGTCACATAGTCCTACACACCCACACACTCTCTCTAACTCCTTACGTCATACGATCAGATTTATTCTAGTTGTTTTTCATGTGGAAGTGAATTGTTGACAAAACAATAAAATGTGACTTCCAGTGATCGAGTAAACCAATGAATGAATGAATGAATTAATGAATGAATGATTTGATCAGTTCATTTCCTCACTGACAATATTCACACAGATACACATGTGTTTGACCTCAATTAATCACACGCACTTACAATGTTATGGTATAATGTGGTTTCAATATCCTTATTTAGACATTGGTAACTTTAAAAGTTAGTCAGTCAGTCACAACGTAGAACTTCGTACGTACATACATCATTTCGAGTTGCCATAACACATTAACACAGAGATGCAGTCGTCGATTCAAATCTCATAGTGGTAGAAGTAGTAATGTGTTGTGGTCTACTTATGTCCATATAAGTAGTATATGGTGTGGGTCAGACATAGAATGTATTTTGGCAGAAGACCGATGAGGAAAGAACTGAAATGAAACGCAAACGTCTGGAAAATGCATGAGCAATGGAATAAGAGAAGAAACAGTGAAGATTGAAACAATTGGTTGTTAATTTGCAAATTGACTGTTCATTGTTTGGTAATCAGAATTTATTGAGATAGTCTGTAATCTTTGCTTAAATTCATTCGATTGTCCCTAACTAGTGTTCTGTTCACTACAGTAAGAGTATACGCCTTAATGTGAAAGATAGAGACAAGAAGAATTCAGAAGATTAGAATTTGGGACAACACAAAGAGTGGATGCGCCTTCGCCATTGCAAACGATTTTGAGCCATTTCATTCAAGGTCTCTAAACATCGATTGCTATCATCTCGCCGATCCCAACCAGGTAGTCTACACCTACCAACATGGCCCAGTCCACTTGTCAGTGACTTCATTGATTTGTGCCACGTTTTGGTCTGGCCACCCCTAGCTTTCTTCCAACCTACTCCCACACCATAAAACACTGCACGTCAGGGCAGTCGGTGGTCGGGCATACGTAACACATGTCCCAGCCATCTCAACTGATGAAGTTTCACTACTTCATCAATCGATTTGCCATCCTTACCTAGTACCTGTTTCCTAACAACTGCATTACTTACTCGGTGGTCCCAGGATATACCAGCAATGCTTCGAAGACACCTATGGTCGAATACTAGTAACCTACGAATGTCCTATACTCTTATTGGCCATGTTTCACTGCCATGAAGTAGGACGGAGTGAACTGCTGCGCAATAAACCCGTCCTTTGCTTGCTAGTCGGATATCTCGCCTACACTACAAATGACGCATGTTAGTGAGAGCTAGTCGAGCCTTCTGTATCCGTACGGAGATTTCGTCACACACTAAACCACAAGGACTGATGAGACTCTCGAGATCAGTGAAGCGGTCAACACACTCAACTACTTCACACCCTATCATTATTTCAGGTTCCGATGTAACCCAATCCTGAAGTAACATTTTGCATTTCGAGGGGGAGGATCGCATCCCGAACATGCCTGCATTGTTGCTTATAGTGGTCAGAAGACTCAGCATTTTATCAGCGCCTTCACCAAATAGAACTATGTCATCGGCGTATCCTAAGTCAACAAGTGAATCCCCCGGTGACAGCTCAACTCCTCTAAATTTGGATGATGAAAGTATCATCTATAAAAGCATGTCAACGACAAAGTTAAACAGGAATGGCGAGAGTGGACAGTCCTGACGTACCCTACTTGAGGTCACCAATTCTGATGACAGTTCGCTATAGGCTCTAACTCGACCAGTTGTTCGAGTAGAGAGCCTTGATGAGGTTAATGTACTTCTTTAGTACTCCTTTCATTGATGAACACTGCCATAGAACCTCACGATCAACGGAGTCGAATGCCGCCCTAAGGTCAAGAAATACCACTATTGTGGGACGTCTGAATGTGTGTCTATATCCTAGGACCTGACGTAGAGTGAATATCTGGTCTATGCAACCACGTCCAGGTCGAAATCCAGCCTAGTTTTCTCTAGTCTGCTCTTCACGAGCTTTGGTTAGGCGTCGAAGTATTATTGAAGCTAATATTTTAGACACTATATTAGTCAAACCGATTCCTCTGTGATCGTCACAAGAGAACTCTTGTTCTTTCTTATAGACTAGCACAATCAGTGATTGGGACCAGTCAGATGGAATTACGTCCGGTTTCCACATTCTACCTAAGACCTCAGTCAATCGTGCTGCTAGTACTGGATCACCATCCTTAAAAATCTCAGGAGTAAACCTGTCAGGGCCTGCGGCTCTCCCTCGCTTCAGATTTCCTATAGCTTTTTCAACCTCGTACAGAGTTGGAGGACTTACATCAATTTGCCATTCAGGACGACCGGAGATCGTGGGTAACTGAAGTGTGGCTGAAGGCCAGTTGAACTGATCCCTAAAGTGTTCTGCCCATCGATCCAATCTCCTGGATTGAGAATGAACAATATGCCCATCTTTATCTGAGATGGTTTCACTGATATTCGGGTTCCTAATACCGGTTTCTTTAACGAGTCTGAATAGCTGCCTGCTGTTACCTATTGCCGCTGCCTTTTTCATCTCTCTTGCTTTCGCTACCCACCACTGTTCACGATCATTGCGTAGGCTTCTTATTAGCCTGCGCTTAGGCTGACTCCGCTCTTCGTTATGTTAAGAGCCAGGTGGGATGGGTTTTCGAGCATCTATCAGTATGGTAGATGCTGCCGAGATCCAGTGTTCCTCCCTAACCTTATGGTTTACCGTAGTAGCAGATATCACTGCTGTTTCCACAGCTTTTCGGATTTCATTCCATGCTGCCTTGGGGTGGGCACAGCTTACATGGCTGACTAACTCTTTTTCTGTTTGTTCCTGAAATATATTCTTAGCTTGTCTATCATTAAGTAGGACCCTGTTGGGTTTCCTTGCAGTGTCTTTCCTACGTCCAGTAAGACGCAGACAGATACGTGCTCGCACTAGAGCATGATCTGAATCTAAACATGCGCTCCAGAATGAGCGACAGTCTTCTATAGAGCCCCTCCATCGGTGGCTGACAGCGATGTGATCGATTTGGGTCCAACGTTGGGAAGAATTCGGGGGTCATCATATCAAAAGATGTTTTTCCTTGTGCTTAAAGTTAGTATTTGCTAGGAACAGGCGGTTATCTGAGCATAGCTGCAACAGACGATCTCCATTATCTGTTCTACCCAGGTGTCTTTCCCTTTCACTTAGTTTACCTAGTTGAGCATTAAAGTCACCTGCCACTATTACTACATCAGAGCACCTAGCATTTTGGAAAAGGTCGGAAAGCGTTCTGTAATAATCATTGTTTACATCATCTGGGCTGCAGTCAGTGGGACAGTAGATAGAGACGACGAAAAGGCAATGACAAGTGTCCCTATCTTTCCGAGTCCTTACCGTTCCGTTTAGTCGGACAGCACACCGACGACTGTCTACCGGGATCCAGTCTAAAAGAGCTAGTTCTGTCCTAGGACTCATTGTTATACCTACTCCAGTGAGGCCACGGAAAGCGGCATCAGGGCTTCCAGATACACGAAGCGTGAATCGAGTTGGTTCTTTATTATGACATAGTGAGGTCAAATGAATGACGCTACTCGGATCTTGTATGCGCGTTTCGGAGACTCAGCACACATCGAAGGAAGCATGTTGTCCTATTTGGCACAATGTTCGGACGTTAAAATTTTCTACCTGTAGTTTAGAGCGTGGTTTCAGGAGACCAGGAATATCGTTCCGTGTATTCGAATCGTTTGCCCTAGCGGTGTGAGGTGACAAAAGGACGTGAGAAGGGTTAGTCATGGAGATAAGAGAGTTATTAGGAGGTGTAGGAAGGATTTGAATGTGGCCAACTTGGTCTCGTGCACCGTTACGGGTATGAGGGCTAATACCACTTCCTGACTGCCCACACCTTGGAAGGGAGGATAAATATTCTCGCGTAACACCGGAGATACTGAGTTCTAGTCTCTCTGATGCGGCATCGTGGATGCCCACTACTGAGAAGTTTCATACTAGGACGAAACGGTTGTGCTCTGCTTCCAGATTTTCAATTGTGACCTAGCTTAGATCGACTCATGAATTCAACTATTAGGATCCCTACAATCTCCACAAATCCCCATGATGATTTCTTTATTCCTCTGAATTTCTTAACTAATCTTTTGGTTCACTTCATTGATATATAATCGCTTCAGGACTGCTAGTATAAACTTTTAAATAGCAAAATTCTTTACATAGCTTGGAGCCGACATTTAGTCAGATTCTAGTTTCAGCATTTGTACAATAAATCATCTCGAATTCCAGGTTTTCCATGGTGGTCTAGCTTCAATTGGTTCATGATTTCAACTATGAAAGTACTGAAATCTCCACAAAACCCCTTCCGATCATCTCGAATTGTCAAATTTTCACTAGTCTATTTGTAACTTTTAAGGATAAAAAAAATCATAAAAATTAATTTTTTTTGTATACTGAACACACAAACATTCTGTTTATGTATTCGTGTGTATATATGTGTGTGTGTACAATGTCACAATAATAATCACTATCCAAATATGGAAGTACGCATTTACTTAACAATGATAAGTATTATTTTCATATTATTTAAATAGGTCATTAGTAGTATTACAGACAAGATGTATTATGAATCATGTCAAATTCTAAGTCATTATATGGTAATATGCACATGATCATGCACACGCTTATATACAAAGCGACATTTAAACCTACATAAAAGTTCATTCTGAAAAATAGTATATAAAACGGATGATTATTATAGGATTTCATATTCTAATACATCACAGTTACAACTGATGACTTTTGTATGAATATGATGTTAACATTAATTTGGTTTACATTGTTTGTACATGTACATTGTAGTACTGATGTTCATATAACTAGTTCGACTGAGAATCCATTTGAAACTGATGTACAACAATTCAATACAACAAATGATTCCAATAATACAGAAACAATTTCATCTACATTATATCCTAATGTGACCTATGTGATTCTACCGACAGGATTTTACTTAGGTCAAACTAATTTGATTACTGTAAGAAGTCGTGAACCAAGAACACAATTACGAATTTCAATGAATGTCACTGAATTACCTCATGAAATTAACGATCCAGATCAAATTTATTATTTAGAACCATTGAATACAACAGAATATTGGTATGGTATAGATATCCCTTATGAAATACCATTCATTTTTACACATGAAGATTCTATGTGGGTTAAATTAATATTTAATTTTACTCATTGTTTAAATAAGACTGATCTCATCCCTAATGATCATGAATGTACTACTTATAAAACTACTGAAGTTATACATTCAATTCAATTAAAACAACCACCAATGATAATACTTGGTGAAACGGATAAACCAATCTATAGACCTGGTGAAAATGTACGTTTTCGTTTTTTAACCTTAAATGTAAATAGTTTATTACCAAGATCAACTAGTATCGCATTACCAAAGGAGAAACTAATCATTCATAAAGGTTCTAAAGGTCAATTAATTGAAATGAATAAGCTAGAATTAATGAAATGGAATAATATCATTTATGATAGTATTGTTATTATTGATCCTATGGATAATCATGTTAAACAATGGTTCAATATATCCCCAAATCAAGCAATTAATTTAACTTATCCTATATTACATAATGCTAAAGAAGGTCAATGGAAATTACGTGCTACTGTGAGACATCATTATATAGAAACTATTGAATTTACAGTGAAACAATATACATTACCAAAATTTACTGTCACCTTAGAAACACCTAGGGTGTTCAATATGGAATCACAGTATGTTCAATATTCAGCCTGTGCTAAATATACAAATGGACCACCATTAAAAGGTCATATACAATCAATATTATGTGCATGTACTGATTATATATGGGATAATCATTTTTATAAATTAGATGATGAACAAATTGTTCAATCATTATTAACTAATCCTAAATGTCCATCTGATGGTTATGAAACAAAAACTAGACCATGTATTATAATTAATCAACCATTAGCATCTAATGGTTGTACAAACTTCAATATATCAACTACTGAATTAGCTTTATTCAGTAGTAAATATTCAAAATGGAATCAAATAAGTATTTTATGTACCCAAGTAATAGAAGATGATACTGGTTCCAAATTATTTAATTGTATTAAAGGTGATCCAATTAAAATGAATCAACTAAGTTTACATATAGAATTACCACATGTTTATAAATCTAAATTACCAATTATTGGTAAAGTGAAATTACTCAACTATGATAAGAATATGAATTATAGTGTGAAAATTTCTGTATCCGATCAAAAATGGGGTTGTTATTGGCAAAATGGCAATACAGATAATCAACATTACTTAAATGTGATATCATTGAATTCCAATGGTGAAGGTTTGATTTATCTACCACCGATTTCATCACAACATTCAATATCTGTTGAAGCTGAATTATTGCAGTCGTCTGTTAGTTCAACTCGTTCATCATTGAATTCATCAACATCATCGAATGAAACCACTTCAAATACTACAAATCAAAATAGTCCTAGAAAGTTAACTAATGAAAAACCTTCCAGTTTATATTATTGGTCACATAGACCATGGATAAATGATCATAGAATTATTGATAATGTAGTATTAAGATCATGGGATTCAATAAGTCAAATTTATTTACAATTATGGCCACCTCATGATAAAATTATTACAACATGCCCAAATCTAGTCAAGTTAACATTGTTATCTAATACACGTTTATCAGATAAAGCTATTTTTATAGAATCAGTAATAAGAGGTAAACATCAGAAAATTGTAATACCAGCGGATAGTTTAGACAATGATAATGACTATTGTATTGATCGAGATGATGAATTAGGTCATTATAAATGTTTAAATTGGAATTCAACAGAGATTGAATGTTTACCTGGTTGGAATGGTGAGAATTGTTTAATTCCTGTTTGTTCTTTAGAATGTAGTAAAAAAGGTGGATTTTGTTCAAAACCTAATCAATGTCAATGTAAAACAGGTTGGACAGGAATAACATGTGATCAATGTGTTAAACGTGAAAATTGTTTACATGGTAAATGTTTACTTGGTAATGATTGTGTATGTGAACCTGGATGGGCTGGATATTTATGTGATAGTAAAAAAGTGATTTATGAAAAAATTGAAGATGATTCAGAAACAAATAGTACAGATAGTGTAACCGAAGAAATCAATAATGAAGATTCAGAGAAACATTCCACAATGAACTCGCCATCTCAGATAAATACTAAACCAATTCGTACACTTTATCAACGGCATATACAATTTGAAATTGATGGTTCATGGGGACCGAAATTTACCGCTGTTCTTTATTTTCACAATCAACATGATGTCATGATTCCTGAAATTATTTCAACACAAATTACAATAGAACAAATTGACAATTGTTCAAGTAATGCTATTGCATTACAGTCAAAATCAAATCATACCAATTTGAAATTAAGTAAAAAGATAGCAGATCCTGGTGAACAAATTAAAATGACTATCATTCCACAAGGTGTTTCTCAGTGGATGGAAAAATCAACCAGCTATGACATGAAATCACTAAAATCCAATGGTGATAATAATGAAAATGATAAAGGTCAGTTATCGAATGAATTATGCTTTGTTAGAATCTCTGATATATCTTTAGATAATTTTCAAGGTGATAAAAATTTAGTGAATTTAAAATATTTTACTGATAAATTAATTGAATTTACCGGGGAAAGTGGATATCGACCATTAGTTGCTAGTTCAACACAAGAAGCATTTTTAGCTGCTGGTTTTCAACTTGGTTCAACTTATCCAGAACCAACATTTGTTCATCGTGCCTATCCATGTCCTTATTTAGCATATTCAAATGCATTACCAGTTGTAATGGATGATGCTGGTGGTGATGGTGAATATAAATCGAATTCAGAACATCGTCAAACAATCTCATTACGTAAAGGTCTACATGATACAATTAAACCACGATTAAGAGACTTCTTCCCCGAAGTATGGTTATTCGACGTTATGCCTATTACTAATTTACAGAATAACGATGCTGATGATTATAATGAAAATGATATTGAAAATACCGGATTCAATGAAACCAATAAATTAAAGGGTATTGAACTTAATCTCACCGTACCAGACACTATAACAAGTTGGAGAGCATCAGCTTATTGTACAACAAAAGAGAATGGTCTATGGATTGGTGAACCACAAATTTTAACTGTGACTATGCCATTTTATGCAGAGATAACTTTACCAAAAGAAATGAAACGTGGCGAGATTCTACACATCCCTATAAGTATATTTGTTTTAGATAGAAAATATTTAAATCCCACCGATGACATTTTCAATAAAACAGAATGTTATGAAACTTCTGTTAGAATACAAGTAAATAATAGTGAATGGTTAATAACTACATCAAATGAATTTACCAGTTGTCTATGTTCTGATCAAAAGATAACTTATCTAGTTGGTTTATTACCACAACAATTAGGTCAATTAAATGTTACTGTTGAAGCACTTGCTATTAGAAATAGTGAATTTTGTGAATTCATTCAAACAAATGATAATGGTAATAGTTTGACATTTAAATCAAATAAAACAGAAATGAAAACTAATCAATCGAAATTATTATCCGATAAAATGATTCGTCAAATCAATGTAATACCTGAAGGTATTCAACAAGAAACAACTCTTAGCGATATTGTTTGTTTAAATGAACAACAAACTACATCAACGCGTCATTTTCAATTTACTTTACCTGATCATATTATAAAAGATTCATTTCATAGTTATATATCATATAGTGATGAAGTGTTAGGACCAGCATTAGTTAATTTAGATAGTCTTATACGTTTACCAACTGGTTGTGGTGAACAAAATATGGTATTAGTAGCACCAAATGTCTATATATTAGATTATTTAAAATCTACACCAAATATTGGAATAAATGACAATAAAGAGAAATATATAGAATCAGCTAAATCTCACATTATATCCGGTTATTATCAACAAATGAAATATCGTCGAGATGATGGATCATTTTCTGCATTCGGTAAATCAGATAAAGAAGGAAGTACATGGTTAACAGCATTTGTACTACGTGTATTTGCTAAAGCTTACAGACTACAACCGAATTTAAGCATTGATTGGAATAATTTATTCAACGGTGCTATAAATTACTTAATAATGCATCAAAATAATGAAAGTGGATGTTTTGAAGAATATGGTAAAGTATTATATTCTCCATTACAAGGAATCAGTGGAACAGATGAAACACAATGGAGAAGTATCTTACTAACAAGTTATGTTAGTTCAGCATTATTGGAAATACAGTCAACATTTGACAAAGAAAACGATGAGAATAAAGTTAATTATTTGCATGTCAAAAACTATACTACTGAAATAAAAAGATCATTCGATGCTGTATTCAGGTGTTTAAACGATAAATTAGTGAGTCTTGATTCTTTTAAAGAGATACCTACATCAGTACTTGTTCAATTAAGTTATACTTATACGATCATTAAACCAAATAATGAATTAACTATAAAACTCCAAAATGAAACAATCAATAGAAAACAAGTTAGTAATGACCAGTTTGGTACAAAAATATTTTGGTCCAGTAATTACTGTGAAAACAACATGACAACTCAGAAAAATAAAAATGAACCACGTGATTTAGAATTAACAGCTTATGCATTTTTAATGTTAAATCAAATGAATCAATCAGTGAGTGATCTATTCCCAATTATTCGATGGATTAGTTCACAACAAAAATCAAATGGTGGTTTCTATTCTACACAAGATACAGTACTTAGTCTTGAAGCAATTGCTGAATTTGCTAAAAGATTAGGTCTATCAAAAACTCTAGATTCAAATGTATCATCGAATGTACTTTTTATTTCAAACAAAATGAGTTTCGTAAACTATACACTGGACGATTTAATAACTTCAGAAAAAAGACAAGTTATCAATCAAATCGAATTGCCTCGATATCCTCTAGACGATAATCAAAAGATAATAGATTCCACTTGGGAATTAAAAAGTAATGAATCACAAACGGATTGTATATTAGTACAAAATACGTTTATATATAATATGCCTGAGAGGGAAGATATTGACAAAAAGATTAAATTATCTTTTGATTTGGTTCAACAAAATAAACTATCAGATGTCAATTGTAAACTAGCTACATTGTCAATGTGTTTACAATTGAATAATATGAAAAATATCAGTACTATCAGTACTGGAATGTTGTTGATACGTGTTACTATGGTTACCGGTTGGGAACCAATTTTAGAAGAATTACATTCACAATTAGGCTCTGAAGATGAATCTTTAAGAAAATTTACTATGAATGATCAAAATGAAATTTCATTATATTTTGATGAATTCTCTGAAAATGAAACCAGAAAAGTAGGCGGTGATTGGACAAAATTAAAACGATGCGTCAGTTTACCATTAAAACAAACACATTATGTAGAAAATGCTAAAACAGCAACAATAACAGGATTTGAATATTATACTCCAGATGAAAGTGTTACAGTTACTTATCAATTAGATGAATGTAGACAAGGATGGAATATATCTATAGATCATACTACAACTGATGATTTTACAGAATCTACAATGACTACTGATAGTTCTATACAAAATATAACAACAACACCACAAATGAAAACACTCTGTCCAATATGTATCAATCAAGGGAATCATACAGCATTACTTCCTGAAAAGATATTTACATCAATATGTAATTATACAAATGGTATATATCTTATCAAAGTTTTAGAATATAATAATAATACTATGAATGTGACAATAATTCAAATATTACAATCTAGATATATCACCAGTTGGAATACAACCATCTTATTCCCTAATCTTCTAGAATGTTCTTGTAACATCATTCAAACACAACAAAATTTAGTCTTATTTTTTGATCAATATACTAATATTTATCAAGGGGATGCTCAAATCAATTTGAATACCATAGATACAAATGTTACATTGATATCTACTAATGATGTATTACCTAATTTAAAATTGGCAAATGAAAAATGGTTAACTATGTCAAATTCAACTATTGATGATGATGATTTTAATTATTATGATTTATTTAATTATAATTGTAAACGATTACCATTGATAGTTAATTATATTCAGGAGAAATTTTTAAATTGAAACATTGTATGAGGTTTTGTTCTTTTGAGCTGGATGGTTTGGTCCATCCAGTTCAAAGACTTCATCAACTAATCATCCACCCAAGGTACAAATTTTCTACATCATCTCAAAATGATTAGTTGTGAAATTTTTTTTAGAAAAAACATAAATAAATAAATCAATTTACATTTTTGCGTGCGTGCGTGCGTGTATGTGTGTGTGTGTGAATTTACTTTGACGATATATTTTTTCGCTTATTGTTATTTTCCTTTTCCTTTTTTTCTAAAGTAAATATTGATTAAAGAATAATGATTGTTTTTGTCTAAATTAATAAAACTTTATTTAAATAACATTAAAAAAAAGTGAACATCAACTCTGAGATGCAGGTACATCTGGCTGACGAGTCCCAAATAGGACGAAACGCTCGTCAAGCTGGATTCCATTGCTAGCCACTATCCATCTTTGCTTACAATGCTTGTGAATTTAGGCTATATCGTGGCAATACGCACAGGATGCACATATGGCCAATAAGAGACTGATCAATTGCAGTCCTAAACATAAATGGGAAGATTCAAACAAACAATACTGAGTGAATATTAGTTATAGTTTAGATGATCATATAAATTTCTAGTCTTTTTTTAGCTAGAACTTTTGGTAATTTTTTAATTTATTTAATTGGTAGTGTGTAGTTTTAGTCAAAGATTTCGTTGTGAGCGTCTGAATTTATTCTATAATCATCTTTCATGAACATATCACTGTCCGAGTCAGGATATAAATGTAGCGTAAGTTCGGGATGGAAAATGATATCTTTAATGAGGATCGTACATTGTATGGTACATTTGCACACTAAATGAATAGAAAAAATGGGTGTAAGACAGTTACTCGTTGAGGATAATGGAAGACGATTGGTCAATACTGTGAATTGGTTGGATTTAAACATTAACATTGTCAGATGTCGGCTCACTGGTCTATAGGTTAAGCGTTCGCGCGTGAGACTGAGGGTACTGGGTTTGAATCCCATGTGCGGGATCGTGGATGTGAACTGCTGAGGAGTCCCATACTGAAATGAAACAGTCGTCCGCTGCTTCTAGGTTTTCAATGGTGGTCTAACATTAATCCATTCATGATCTCGATTAGAAAAGACTGTGTATAACATAATGAACATTCAAAACATCTCAGATAACGTTACACATTTTTGACGTCAACAGTGTAATTTAATTAAATTTAGCGATTATTAGCTTTTATTTATTCATACTGAAAAAGTGAAGTTATCCAGGAAGTTTAATTAAATTACATCGAACGCCCTATTAACCAAGTGACATTAACAAAACATATGAATCACTGTGAAGAAACTGTGAAAGAATATATCATACATTTTCGTTCCTAATAAGTAGTATATTATTAATACATTTTATCGAGTCCCATTTTTCTAATGTTCTTAGCAACTTTGCTATTAAGTTGTGCCTTTAAATCATAGATCCTATGGGTAGGCATCATTATTGAATAAGATATTTAAGCGAATGTAATACTGCTTCAAAACATTGTAAATTGAAATGAAGATAAATAGTCTTATGAATCTACACTAACCTATAGCTAATCCAATGTTATACGACCCTACTTAGGACAAAATGAATGAGATTTTGAAATCTTATGAGAACATATTGCATCAGAGACATTTGATTCAGAAATATTAGAAGAACATATCATATCATAGGCATTGATTGACAAATATTACGGGAAGTTTGAACAGATCAAGAGGAATGCTTATGGGAACATACCTCATTTAATAAACTATTCAATGCACCGGTCTTCTTGATCCAGTTTAAGCCTAATAGACCCAAATCATGACACATCGTCAGATGGCAAACGTTATCGAATTTATGTTTTTTTCAACTTCACCTCGTACATGACTTCTCTTTTAAGCCTCACTATATCTTCTGAGGTACTTCAGGCAACATGTTCGGTTGGTTAAATGGGTGGACATTCTAGTTTACTCCACGTAGCCGTATTTAGTTGGATATGAGTAGGTTTACCATTCACTAATAAGTTTACATACTTTCGTTTACTTTCCAATCCAACTTTGAAAGTCTTAAAAGTGCTCTTCGAATAACTCTGAATGTCGCTTCACATTTCCGCTTTGACATTTTGATTGGCGTTTCTTTGGTGAACAGTGACATTTTTATAACCAATGCTATGACAATGGCGGTACTTGTCATTCATGAACGGGCATAATGTCAAAAAATACCATGCTCCACAAAACCAACATGGTAATAGTAGTTTGGCAGCAGGACGTTATTGCATTGCTGTGCTTTGTTTGAAAGATTTAGAGGATTTGATTGCATTTACTGACAGAAATCGGAAGGTTTCGCCTTCTGTTATACTATCACAGAATCATGATTGGGATTTAACAAACGTTGACATTCAGTTGTGATCATGTGCAAAGTCATGTTAGGTTCCTGCTCAATGAGTGTCGAAATTCTGGTGTGGATATCCACACCTTCTGGATTCTTTAATCCACAGATAAAAACAAGATATTTAAATTGGTCTGCTGTGATTTCATTTATTGTAAATCGTTCACATTCTTGATTTTCCTTTCCAGCATAGATAAGATAATCATCGGCCAGAGATTATGATACTTGAAAACACTGATAGCGAAGTTTGAATAATAAGGACTATTCACCAAAAGTTTAGATAGTATTTGGACTGTATTATTAAAAGAAAACTCTCGAAGATTTTGTGCAGGATGAAGTTCACATATTTATTATATTCACGTGTTTCAAGTCTTCTCAGAACTAAGCGCACTTTAGCTGCATCACAATGATTTGAGTATTCAACACGTAATATGTCTTCGAAACGATGAAACCAGGAATCGAGTTTGAAATCAGATTCAGGAAAATAGTTGTATTCACAAATTAAGTTCGCGATGCTTTTATATTTATCTAACTGAGAGGTTGATGTTGAATAAAATGAGAGTTTCCGCGTCAATGTATCCGAAAACTTCACTTGATTATCATCACTCAGCTCATGCTGAATTTGTTGAATAGTTTTAAGGTCGTCCAAAGAAGTAAACATTTCCTTTTAGAGCAATCCAAACTATATATAATCGTATTAATTCTGTGAGGACATATGAACAAGGAATAAACATGATAATGTAGTAAGAAGATTACAATACTAGGTTGCGTTATATGGATGTTAACAATAACAGATTGTGCGTGGGCAAATAAAAAGCCTTGTAAAATTCAGAAGTTGGCAACGGATTATAGTGTCAATGTGTGGTGGTCTATATTCGATATAATCCCTAAACTTCGTGTATTGTTCGTCCTGATAACCGTTACTCGATAAAGTCCTAACAGTGTATAAATCAGAAGGCGAATACGAAGGGTTGATTGCGTTTATTATTGTACCACACACAGATATCCAATATTACAGGCACGTTAAGCAAGCATGAAAGAGCAGTGCCGTAAAACAGGCTAGTGAGCGTGAGAGCCGAATGAGAGAGTGCAGTACAGTGCAGTGTAGTGCAATGAACAGGATTAAGATGTACATACATATACAAATGGATAAGCATGAATCATCAAATCAATTGAGCGATTAATAGTAAGGCTAGCAGAATGAATACATGCGTAGGCAGTAAGCAATGCTCAAGCGTACATAATAAAGGTACAATATTATAGATAAGTTGCTGTTGTACGAGTGACTATCCGTTAAATAGGTCAAAAAAATAGTCTATCGGTTAAGGGCTCTGCCACGAGACTGGTAGGTCCTGGGTTCGAATCTCGCGAGTGCGGGATCGTGGATGCGCACTGCTGAGGAGTCCCATAATAGGAAGGAACGGCCGTCCAGTGCTTCCAGATTCTCCATGATGGCCTAGCTTCAATTGACTCATGATTTCAACTTTTAAAAATACTGAAAACTCCACAAAATCCCTTCTGATTAACAAAAGGGCTTAGCCAAATTAGATGTAAACAAACTCAATTGTATGTGAGCTGCTATAAATGAAATAAGACGATTAAAATGTTTTTATTGCAATAATTGAAGGCAATAGAGGTGCAAAATTATACCAAGTTATATCAGGAAGAATTATGAATGAAATCATGAGGATATGCAACATAAGTAAAAGGAGAGGGGGATATTTTAAAATACCAAACGAAATAATAATAATAGATTAAGGGTAAGGTAATGATAACGATAGGATGTACTTCCTTTGTACGCACGGCTCTGGCTTGAGCTCATGGATGGTAAAAGCTTCTGCTGTGTTAAGGAGTTGAATATCAAGAAATCTAGGTAGATTTAGAGGAATCGAATAAATAACTTTAAAATCAACCTGTGGATTAGTTGAGGGATTCGAATCGATTAAGTGTCCAAGAATGGAACTTCTAACTGCTTTCCTCTCCCCTCTGTAGAACCACGCTGGGACATGTCGTATCTGAGATGAAAGCATGCGCTGGCTAAGGCCTATGTGACTTGTTTCACAAAAGCAGGTGAACTGGTAAATACACATATAGGCGACCAGACGGGGAAGTTTATCCTTTATGGACACAGAAAACAAGTTCTTACTAATGAACGTTAGTCTCAGCTTTACTGCATGGATAGTTTATTAAAAATTACACTCATACATCAAGGATCTAAACGGTAAAAGGACATAAAATTAATTAAAAATTCTCCATACAATAAGACATACGTTAAGTAACTTCAGTATTAATTTAATAGTGTATGTTTCTACTTTTATAGTAAAATCTAAATTAACTATCTCCTTTTGGAGATTCTCCAGACTAAATGAATGTCTAGATACTTGTTATCAAACAATAATTTGGTTGCTTATGTACTACAATCATTACTGTAAGTGTTAATGATGTATCAGGGGTTTTCTTTAGTGGAATCAAGAACACTACACAAGGTGAGTGAACTTCTTGGGTTCTTTTGAACAGATTCTTTTAGTTAACATAAAATTTCAGTTTTTGAGAAGTAATTTTCATTAGAAACTAAGTTCGAATAGAAACGCAGTCAAAATCAAGGAACAATAGAGAATCAGTCTGGTCCTTGTTTATGACTCTTCAGAAGTGTGTACCCACAGCTATATATGAAAATTAGTCAAGGATATTCATTTCCCTTATAAATCACGATACATTTAGACTGATTAGTTACAACCTAATGATCGATATGATCAGATTCAGCCAATTTATGAAAACCCACCATTACCATCTAATTTTGAGTGGTCTAAGTTAGACAGAGGAAATATTCTTTGACTTTGGCTTTCGTGCAGGTCGGTACTTATCATTGAAGTGTACTTGAAGTCTTGAGAGAATTGGTACTCTGTGTGTGGTTTGAACCGACTTTTAATAAACGCATTCTGA